TCTCTCTCTCTCTCTCTCTCTCTCTCTCTCTCTCTCTCTCTCTCTGTTTTGTTTTTTCAAGATAGGGTTTTACTCTATAGTCCTGGAACTCACTCTATGATGGGCCAGGTGACCACAAACTCATGAGATCCACTGCCTCTGCCCAGTGCTGGGATTAGAGGTGTGCACTGCCACCACTCAGCTCATGGATCCGTTTCTAAGCTTTGAATATTGCAATGTATTTCATACATGCTTTAAAGCTCCACAAAGGGAGCTAGAAAAATGGCTCAGCAGCTAGGAGCTCTGACTCCCAGCACCCACATGGTGGTTCACAGTCTTCCATAACTCCAGTTCCAGAGAGTCCAACACACTCTTCTGACCTCCTTTTCCCTAGGCACACATGTGGTGTAAATACATGCACATGGGTAACAGTTATACACATAAAATAAAAATATATTTTAAAATTTCACAAAGATCACTCATATAAAAATATATCATTTTCAATATAACTTATTTCCTATCTGCCATATAATTTGGGCAGAAAAATTGTGTGGTTTAAGTTCAAATACAGTTAAGTGTTTTTGAAACACTATATAACGCTAAAAAACAATTCTTTATAGAATGCTAAAACACTACACTTTATATAAACACTAAAACCATGTTTTTATTTTTATTTATTTTATTTTTTTATTTATGAGTACACTGTAGCTGTCTTCAGACACACCAGAAGAAGGGCATCAGATCTCATTACGGATGGTTGTGAGCCACCATGTGGTTGCTAGGAATTGAACTCAGGATCTCTGGAAGAGCAGTCAGTGCTCTTAACCGCTGAGCCATCTCTCCAGCCCCCTGTTGTTTTTTGAGACAAGGTTTCTCCATGTATTCTTGGATGTCCTAGAACTTACTCTGCAGACCAGGCTGGTGTGGAACTCAAGAGATCCACCTGCCTTTGCCTCCTGAGTGCTGGGACTAAAGGCATATGCCACCACTGCTGACTTGAAACCAGGTCCTTCCAGGCAGGAATTCAATTTTCTAGGATGGAAATGACCAGATCAAGAGAGTCATGCTTCCTGAAGTCATACCTAAGAGTGTGGGGCATTGTGTCAGTGACATCTGACTGTCACACAGCACCTCCATCTTGGCAGGAGGACATGGCTGCCACCACTGTCCAAAGTAGTCCTCATCGACAGAAAGGGAAAGAGAGACCTCAGGAAGGCTGCTGCAGCAGTTCTACTGCCGCTTGCCCAGCCCCAGAGCTTTGTAGAGTGGCAGCTTTGATGTGCGGCAGGGCTACCTCTTCTTTCACCTTCTCTCAGGCGTTCAAGGAAAGGAGAGGACGGATGAAATTTCCAAATCCTAACCATCCCTCTGCCATTCATCTTTGTAAGGGTAAAATACAAAAAAAGTATACAAACTTGTGTAACCTTCCTGTTTAAAGCCAGCAAGCTCTCTGCCCAACTACTGTACTGAAACAAAAAGTCATGCTTTCTAGCAGAGAAAAAAATCTTTTTCCTTCTTTTTCTTTCTGTTTTCAACAGCAGTGGCATGGAGAAAAGGTCTTTATCTATTAGCATTTTGAACTGCAGGAAACACATCACCTAAAGGCTTTTCTGTGCTGCCTCTCTGACAGGGCAAACTTTTGACCTGTAGTAGCTACGGAAAGGAGACATACCTGATTATAAACACAGGGCAGGCAAAGACCAGGAGCTCTGTGCACAAAGGGTAAGGGGGAGGATTGTGGAGATGCATTCTGGGAGGGCCGGCTACTCACCTGATGGTGTTGTCAGATGAGCCGCTCACCACCAGCCTGTCTCTGTACTGCAAACAGGCAATGCCGCGCTTGTGCCCATTTAGGGTCCTTACAAATTCACAGGTACTTGTGTTCCACACCTGAGACACAAAAGTGACAGCGGAGCAGTAGGTCAGGTACTTCTCACAGTAAAAGCGGTAAGCACTAAACAGAAGAGACTACTCATCAGAGGATGCCCATGCCTCACAGACACAGCAATGGAACACAAGAGCCAGGTCTGACTCGTAGGGACACAGGACTAACGGGAAGCTGGCTGCTGTCACATGGGACTCTGACAAATGATTTACTCTATGAATTACACTCCTCTAGTGTGTGTGCACGCTCACACTTAGTGTCCTCCTTAGATCCTCTAGTGTGTGTGCACGCTCACACTTCGTGTCCTCCTTAGATCCTTTCCACCTTATTTTTTTTAAGAGATGTATTTTTTTAATTTTTTTTTTTTATATAACTGCTTGAGTTTGTGTGTACCACGTGTGAGCCGGAATCTACAGAGGCCAGAAGTTGGGTCCTCTGGAGCTGGAGACTCAGGTGGTTTTGAGCCATGCTAACAACTAAACTCAAGTCCTTGGCAAAAGCAGTGTACTGTCTTAGCACACTGAGCTACCTCGATAGCCCCTCCACCTTATTCTTCCACACAGGGTCTTTGAACACAAGGCTTACTATTTGGCTAAAATGGCTGGCCAGTGACCACTAGGGATTTGGCATTACATTGCCTTCAGAGCAATGAGATCACCAACATGTGGTGACACATCTGGCTTTTCTATGGCTGTTGGGAATCTGAATGCAGGTTCTCATGCTTATGCGGGAAGGCCTTTCTTTCCACACTGGCTGTTTCCTCAGCTCCAGTAAGGACGTTTTCTTGAACTTAACCTTATCCTTGCTTGAGGGCTTTTCTTACGCCTGTAATCACTGCCAGCATCGGTGGCACTGTTATCTTTCCATGCTGGGTCTTGGGAACAGCAGCGGTCTACCATTACGTCACACCTCCAGCCCATAACCATTGTTTATAGAAATAAAAATTGAATTTAAACATTACATTATTCTACAATAATGCTTGTGTATACAGTTGCCCTCAATCACGCTTTTATACAAACTCCTACTGCAGCTTGTGAACTTACTGAAAAGTGCCTGTTACCTTTATGGTTCTATCTCCAGAGGCAGAAACGATGTACTTGTCATCAAAGTCTACAACATTGACTGCAGCTCGGTGTCCCACCAGCACCCTCCTGAGGGTGATGTCGGTTGGGGACGCCATGTCCCACACAGCAATGGAGCGGTCTTTGGAGCAGGTCACCATCATGCCATTATTGAAGCGCAAGTGGAGAACAGCTTCACAGTGGTGGATCAATGTGTTCAGCATCTCACCCGCATTTACATCCCACACTCTGAAAAGGAGACCCAGGAGTCAGATGGTGCTTAGTACAATGCACTGCCGGTTCTTCACCACGGGGCTTACCATCAATGCCATCCCTGCTTTCTTTTTCTTTTTGAGATCGGGGGTTTCTCTGTAGTCCTGGCTATCCTGGAACTCACTCTGTAGACCAGGATGCCTGTGAACTCAAAGACCCGCCTGCCTCTGCCTTCCAAGTGCTGGGACTAAAGGTTTGCACCATGTCTGGCTCACCTCCTACTTTCATGGCAAGTGTGCTCTTCCTCTGCATCCCCCAGGTAGAGTACATACACATAGACCATGAGAAGGCAGAGGAAAGGCAGGGCTTAGTGGCGCTTCCTGTAAAGGCTCAGGGAGGACACAGTCACTATCATCTGGTAATTTGGCCCAGATTTTTGGGTTATTATTTTAACACTGACATTCAATAAAGAAGACACATGTGAACTAGGAATCTGATAAAGAGTAGCAGTGGTATCTAGCCCAATCACTGCACTCATGGGCCAAGATCTTCCGCCACAGATTTAGTAATGTGGACTTGACTTTCACGTCCCTGAATGTTAAGTTTTCTACCTTACACAGACTCTAAGTCCAAGGCTCCATTTTTGTGCTTTTCAGGGGCAAGATTGTCAAGACGAGCTCCCCCGCCTACTCTAGGCATGTGCTTCATGGCGACGGAGATCCTTGGACAGCTTGAGGACTGTGCCAAGACAGAGTTACCTTGATTAATCTATTTTTGCCTATTTATTTTGTTTTTAAAAGCATTTTGTTGCCAGGCGGTGGTGGCGCCTGCCTTTAATCCCAGCACTTGGGAGGCATTTTGTTTCTCCTTTGCAGCTTACCCTCCTTTTGGAAAGTTTTTTTGCATGTGTGTGTGTTGCTAAGAGGTAGAATACTATTTAGTGCGCCAAGCCCTGGGTCCAATCCCAAAACTGCCAAGACAACAAACGAACGTCATCTCTCCCCATTGGATAAATGACTTAAGCACCTACAATGCCCCAGCTCCTGTGAGGCACTCCAAAGCATGGAGAAGCGTTAACTGCCAACAGCAGAGGCGGGGCCTGCTGTGCCTAGAAGTGAAAGGAACAGCTTTCCCTACTTACAGGGATAACTTCGGAGAATTTAACAATGCAGATGACTGCCTTTATTCCAGTTGTTCTTTTGTTTTGTCTTGTTTTGTTTTTAAAGTTACTTTTGATGAATTACTCTTGCTAAATCCTTTAGCTTAAGGTGAAATCCTAGCAGGTTTCCAACAGTGCTGCTGGTACCCTGAACTCAAGCTACACTGGACTCCAGCAGTATAATGGCTGTGTCATCAAATCACCAGAGCCTCTGGAAATTGAACCCCCCTCACCCCCAGTAAAACTTGCAATTAAACACTGTGGGGATGGCAGGGGAGAGCTGGCAAGGAGCGGGTCTTGCTCACCTGTAACCACTTGAAAGAGCTCATGCATGCCTGCTCTGCAGTTACAATCACCTGAAAGACAGGCTTCATTCCCTTCCTGCCATTCCTGTGAGCTAGCTTCATAAGGAATGTTAAGGCTTCCCATAAAGTGGGGGAAGCTCCTATGACAGGTGCTCCTCCAAATTAAAATCTGTGTGTAGCTTTTTAAATGTGACAAAGTAGAAATCTACTCAATGGTTCCAACACCAAGTGTTGGTTCCAGAGTGAGAAGGGACTGACCGGAAGCTAACAGCTTATGCTTTAGTTTCAGAAATGTGTTCATGAAGATGCAGAGAATCAGCGTGACACAAAGTGGAGGCTTAGAGTTCAAAAGGAGTAGCAGAGATTCCCTACCTGACGGTGGAGTCTGAGGAGCCCGTGATGATCACCCTCTCGTCGTACTGCAGACACAGGACAGAGCCTGTGTGGCCTGTGAGAATTCGCTTGCATTCCAGTGTGCTTTTATCCCAGATCTAGGATGGCAAACGAGACCCTTTTGATCACCGTCATAATGGGGTGCTGTGGAGACTTGTTGTTCTGTACATGTGTGATCCCCAAACATCAAAGCCCAGAGAGGGTGAGCCTGCATTCTTTCCTCCAGGTAGAGCTAAGCTCCTGGATGTGTTGACTTCAGTTCTAATGCTAACTTCATCCTTTTCATCAAGGTGGAAGAGAAGCCTATAATTATGAAGGCCAAAATAACAACAGCTCCCATGAGCGCACTTCTAGAAGGGAGTTCAACCCTGGGACTACGCATTTGTAGGATCCTGTAGGGAGAAGCAGGCATTTGCCCTTTAGGGAAATGATTTTGGCTTTAGTGCTGGAACCAATCTACATTTTTCAGTTCCTAGAACAATATTCAAGGCTAGGCTTCAGACTGCTCTATGAATGTGGTCACCCTCACTCCAACAATGCTCCTCCACTGAGGAGGGGCCAGTCACCTTGATGGTGTTGTCTCGAAGGCCGCTGACTATCTTCTGGTCATCATACTGTAAACAGTAAACCCCTTTACTTGTTTCACTCCGGCAGTGGATTCTCTGTAAACTGTGTCGCCCACATCTCCAGTTGGACTCTATTGTCTAAAAAGGAGGGTCCAAAGAGGCAGTTAATTAGGAAAGAAGGCAAACCAACAACTCAGTGTGTTACTTTATGGCATTGGTTCTCAGCCTGTGGGTCTTGACTCCTTTGGGGTTTGATCAACCCTTTCACAGGGGTCACCTAAGACCATTAGAAAACAGACATTTACATTATAATTCATGACAGTGGCAAAATTACAGTTATGAAGTAGCAATGAAAATAATTTTTCATGGTTAGGGGTCACCACCACATGAGGTTTGCAAACATTAGGAAGGTTGAGAACCACTGCTCTATGGGCTACATACAACTAAGAACTAAAAAGTAGGTACACGTAGAGCTGCACGCACAGTGGTATCCTAGGCATGTGGTATCCATGCCTCCTGATAACCTTCTGTGAAGGCTCATCAGCAGAAGAGTGCAGGTGTCACACTGCTGTTTTAGGAAGGTGGCAATCCTTTGCTACAAAGGTTTTAAAGCTGTACAAAAATTGACTAGGAATTTTCTGTACTTTATCAACCTTATTCTAGTAAAGACACTGACTGCTAACTCACACTGGAAAGTTTACTGGGTTTTCTATAGAACTGTAACTTAAGCATATTGATGATTCTCTACCACTCAGAAAGTATCTGGAAACATCCATTCTTACCTCAATGTCTTGTATAATTTTAGGATAAAGCGCTCTATAAAAGGAGTTGGGAGGAGCATTCTCATCAGGAGGTTTGTTTTTGAATAAGTACTGTCCCCTAAAAAAGCAAATATTTACCAATGAAAGATCATCAATCCATTTACAAGCAGCTTTATACTTTTTCAAAGTGTTTGAACCTCCATTACATACAACTTTCATTAACTAGACTGGCAAGGCATGATGGTCAGGTGATTTTGGGAGTCTTTGTGTCAAAATGTTAACCTAGAATCTAAGGAACTTAACCAACATTGATTCCGGTGTAGAACCTCAGGGTGTCAAGGCCTTTGGGAGGCCTTATGCTGACAGAAGTATACGCAGAACCCATCTGCTGCACTGCTACTTCTATACCTTTATTGATTTTATCATGTGGTAATAATGGTGATTCTTCTGCTTAATAATAACTATTCCCTTTTCTCCCTTGGTGCTGGGGCTTGAACCCCGAGCAGTGTGCACATTGGGTACAGTAGCCTGACACTCTGCTAGTATGCTGCCGTTGAGCTAGCACAAGCCCCTAAGTCAAGTTGTGCCAGTGTCAGAGGATGCCTAAGCATGCTGGGTAACAGCAAAGCTTCTGTCTGTCATGATGGAGCTTCATGTTATTTATCACAGGGTAAGGTATGTGTGCTAGCTGGCTGCTTGGTCACCAGGGCTACTCCTGATCACTGTGGGAGTCCTCCAGAAGAGGCAATTCAGTTCATACAACAGAAACAAAGGGCTGCATGCATGTCTAACTTCAGGGAGGGAAGAGGTGAGAAGAAAAGCTAAGCACACCATGCCATCATATGTGAGGCAGGAAGCTGCTGTCAGAGATGTGTTCCTGTGTGCACACACAGATGCATTTCCTGACTTTGATTCCAGCATGCAGCATGCTAGCATCTCCTTCCTTATGACAGCACATTTCTGAGTGCTCACACTCCAAGCTAGATTGCTACCAAAAAAAGAAAGAAAGAAAGAATGAAAGGAAGAAAGAAAGAAAAAAAGGTAAACGGCAATCACTTCCTGCTGGGTAAAAAATTTAATTCCTTATCCTGAAGTTAAGAACCCACCGAACACGGTGTGGAAGCTAGTAAAGCCCACTGTGGGTGTGATAACTGCTGTTCTCACTGGCACCGTGCCTTGCAAAGTGGAGTTAGGCAGAAATGCCTCTGAGTATAATCCTGGCACCAGAGAAATCATGTTTTCTGTGGGCCAGTCATCCACTTGTGCCTCTGTAGCTCCATTACAATATAATTAATTGTTCACTGTCTCCAGGAGAGCTTCTCGTCTGCCCTCTCCCTATTATACACCTTGAAAATTAGTTGAGAAAATCTCCTATCAGGAAGGCAGCTGGCTGCGGTGTCTATCTTAACACAGAAAAGAAAATTTGCACTGGGGAAGTGAAAAGAACAGGTTTTTGTTTGTTTATTTTGTTTTGAAAGGACTGTGAAGTAGGATATATCAACATAAAGGGTAAGTGAACTACTTTGAGAAATAATTCTGGATTAATGGCATCCTCCTCTGAACAGTTTGATTATATAAACACTTTGCATGCAGATGAGATTTTTAACTGTTGTTTCCAGTGCCCACCATTCCTGAAGCTTTTGTCTTCCTCTGAGTCGTTGTCATCCCTATAAGGTACTCTAGGAGCTCCCTCACATCCAGTGATAGTTTCTTTGTATCCTCAGATAATAGGACCCAAATGAATCTCTAATCTTGTTTTCCATCCCACTGCTCTTCCTATGCCTTACAAACATATATTCATCTCTCCAAATGAAAGACGCTACAAAGGAGTGACTAAATACCGAGAGCCGGCCTCTTAGTCTCCACCTGTTTTAAGTCACAGTCTTTTCTGGTGTGTGTCCTTTGACAACAGGAACCACTTCTAGGAGAAACACCTGGTACCTAGGAGAATGTGAGTGCATGACAAACGTGAAATATTAAATTTAGAATGTTATCATAAAATGTGATCTCTTGATTAAGAAAATGGACTTTTCCCAAGTGGTCTTTTATCATCCTTTTAAGAGTTATCATTACTGAGAAGAAAGTATTATCTAGTATTATTTAAGAGAGAAAACTGCAAAGTTCATGTCCTAGGGGCAAACTGTCAAATCTATCTGGGTATGAAATATAACAGCAAAGTGGAAGTTAAATCTTGGTGACTCAGATTGTTCTAGGAAGACTGTATTCATTTGTATACTTTTGGAAAGGAGAATCTGGAGGCATTTTCAAAGATACTCATATGGGGAAAAGAACAACACAGAAAGCTTGAACACAGAGGGCTTGGTAAGGAAAACTTCAAAAATTGATAATGAGCTGGGGATAGTGATAGTGACACAAGCCTTTGATCCCAGCACCAGGAGGCAGAGGCAAGAGACTTTGTGAGTCTGAGGCCAACCTGGTCTACAGAGTGAGTTCCAAGACAGCCAGGGCGACACAGAAAGATCCTGTCTGAGAAAGAAAGAGGGGAGGAGGGAGGGTGGAAATAAGAAATTGATCCTAAATCATTCCTTCTCAGTAAGGGAGAATCTAGCACATCTCTGTAATCCCAGCACTCCAAAGACGAGGCTGGAGGCTTGAGAGCAAGCCGGGTTACACAGCAAGTCTCAACACCACTACCACCCAAACAGAAAGATGATAGAAAAGGGAGGTACAGGTATCACCTGGAGACACTAAACACATTCAAGAGAGCACACAAGTATCTGTATTTACTATTTCATGGAACTATAACAAGTTATATCAAATTTTATCAATTTGATCAAAGACAAGGGAACTTGGTCAAAAAGCTGAATGACTTGCAAAGAGTGAGCGGGAGTTCAGAGGCTGCAGAGAATCTGTGATAGTAAAGACATGGCTATACCTCAGCTCTATCTTCAAAGATCCCTTCAGAAAGCTAAAAAGTGGACTAGGATGTAACTTAGGAGCAGAGAAATTGCCTAACATGGACCCTCAGCATGATCCCAGGCACCATAAAAATTATTAAAAAAAAAAAAAGTCCAAAAAAACTACCTTTTCAATGATACTTTTTATTACTGTTCTAATAACCAACATAAAAGACCCCACTGTTTAGGACCAACCCTAAATAAGAGTTTGCTTTTCCATTTGCACTTACACAGGCACATACCTCATCAGTGCAGTTCTGTGTCTCCTGCCTTCAGAACAGGCTAATGTTTATGATGAAAGTTATTATCATTCACAGGACAAATGGAAACAAAGTGTATCTTAGCAGGGCATAAAATATTTTTAGTTAAGAACTGAATGATTAAAATTGAGACTTAAGGCCTGAATTATCTGGAGGAGAGTTTCTTTGCTTTCTTGAGAGACAGAGAATCTTCTCAGACACCCTGAAATTTCCCCAAGTAAGCAACTGTGTGCTCCATTTTGAAAGCTGGTCGTAGACTTAGCAAATAATGGCCTCTGAATGCCATACATGATAGCTATCAGAGTATGAAGGCAGTAAGCAAAGGCAGTTTCTATATCAGAGTATGAAGGCAGTAAGCAAAGGCAGTTTCTATATCAGAGTATGAAGGCAGTAAGCAAAGGCAGTTTCTATTTTTACACATAGTAAGGAAGGAGAGAAAAACATCTGAAAGAGAAAAAAAAAAAACGAAACAACTAACAATAAGCCCTGGTTTACAGTCATATAGCAAGAATGGTGCTAGCATGAGTCCTGGAACTGGATTTGAGAGTAAAGGTTTTTAAGTATTCCTAATAGCTCATATGACAAAAACCTCTGAAGCACTTATCAGGATACTCAGGTCAACACATTAATGAATCCATGGATTTCAAGGACACTAAAGCGAGAGAGCCAAGTCTACTTTATAAAAATTTGAAGGAAAGTTGATCCACATGTATCTCTCTCTTTCCTGCCTCAATTTCCTTATTTCCTGGGATTACAGGTATGGACCACCATGTCCACTCAGCTAAATGAAGATTTGTTTTTTGTTTTGGGTTTTTTTTTTTGCTTCTAGTGCTGAGGACTGGACCCAAAGCCTTATATATACCATAAAGGCACCTACAGCGCTTAGCTAGTTTTATACTTGTTTTGAGACAAGGTCATGCCTTCCTTCTTCTTGGAAAAGCAGGCCATGTAGTACCACACCTAGCTTCCCTTTAGAAATCTTAACTATTTGAGATTGTGTATGACTCCAGACCCAAAAAGGACAAAAAAAAAAAAAAAAAAAAAGTTAATTTTGAAGGCAATCACTGAGCACATATATGCCTATTATCTTTTTTTTTTATCAAATATACTTAATAACTTATTTAATGAATTATTCATACCTGACTTTCTTATAGTGACATTCTAGAGACACACTCTGAGGCAAAATTCTAAAAAGAAAAATATCTTCAAGAAGTTTTAATGAACTAGTGCCAGTGTGCTCAGGGAACACTGCTGGTGAAGTCTTTCAGGCCACTGACTACACAAGGCCTTAGGGAATTCATAATTAAACAAGCAAATCTAAAGACACAAGTTTTAAGAAACAAATGGTTTTTACTAAATTCCATTTTTCATTCTTTCTGGTAGCTATAGCTTAATTCTACTTGGGCATAAAAATTAATTTTTGATTACAAAGATGATGAGACACTAGAGGTGGAACCACATAGAGGAAGTCTGGTGAAGAACAATATTCCATCTTCCCCAGAAGAGCAAGCGGGTTCTTTCTACCCAATTCAAAGCTATCTTTCCTTCCTTAAAAGGTGTCCCTCAGTCTTTCTGCAAAATTCCAATTTCTGTCCAGAGAGCAGAATGCTTTAATTAGGAGGGTAGTCAGTTTTCTTTTCCTTTTGCAAAATATGTCATCTTATGATTGACTGGTCAGAAGAAAAACTACTGAGTACATGGACAACAATTCGCTTATATTTTTAGCTATAAATTGTACAAGGACCACAGAGGCTGTGAAGTGACCTCGCTGGCTCTCGACACTCCATCGTGCTCAGCGGGCAGGCCTGGGAATGCTGCAGGAAGAGGAAGGGTAAGGGCTCACCACCCTCTGCGCTCTGCCAGGCCTCGCCACAGAGAGTCTGTCCTGACCATCCTCTCGATGAGCTTCTTCCACAGCATGCCGTCCGACGTCACGCGGTACCATTCCTTGCACACAAGCTCAGCAGCACACAGTGACTTGGCGTCCAAGTATGACAGAATGTTCTCAGCAATATGGTCCAGACCCCTTGCTTCAGTGAGGGAAGGAAGCACAGAAAAAGAACAGAGCGTGTGCTGAGCAATTTTTCACAGAAAGCCTTTTAAAGGAGCAGCACATGCCGTGAGATGAAGGCACACCACTGTCCCTAGTGTGGTCCAGCTTTGCTCAAACAGAGACTTGGGTAAAATGAGTGTCAATAATTTTTCCATAAGGTTACAGAAATGAACAGTATTTTCCATCTTCTGTTAGATAAGGAAGTTAAAGCTAACAACCAGCAAACCCCCCAAGACATTAAAAATAAAAAGGAGTCCAGAAAACAGTTCACATCTATCTATATGGATTTCAACACTAGGGGATGTTCTACGGATGGCATCTCAAACTCAATGATTCAGACCCCCCGAAATCCTGATATTAGGTCCATTTCTCATTCTGTTCTATTACTGCTACAGTTCCAAAGCTTTTCAATGAAAGAAATGTCCTTTAAATGTACTAGGAAGAGGCAGCAAGTCAGATTGTTCAGGGACATGGCATGTGGGCACGCAGGAGAGAAATGAACACATGGCCCAGGAGCACCCTGAGAGGACAGACACAGGGATACGAAGGTTCAAAGATGAGTCTGATTGCATGTATTAAAAACAAAACAAAACAAAACAAATTTTACTGCTATAAAACCTAAGTGACAGTTGTCCTAAAATGGAAAAAAAATCTTACCAGTAAATAATGAGGGCAGCATTTCAAAGGAAAACATGGCAAGCTGATCTTGGATGATAGAAATTACCATACTCCCCAATTAAAGCTCTTTATCACCCAAATATGCATCAAAGCCTCAGTGGAGAAGAGCCCGTCAAACAAGAGGGGCAGCCTAATAACACTTGGAATTGCTGTTCTAAGTTCTCAGGTCAGACAAAAACAGTCAGAATTTGTCCGTCATCCCTGAGGTTTTCTGAAGGCTCACAAGTGGGAAGGATTTGTTCAGTCTGTTGTCTGCAGGCATGAACCGAGAAGGACCGACAGCATGCATTTGACTTTGTGTGCTGCCCCTGAATCATATGGAGACACACTTGGCTGCCATTAGCAACAATCCAAATATGCTTATTAAACATTATTCTAATTATAAAAATTATATGGCTATCTGTCAAATTTTCCCGCAGACTTGGGGAAAGAGAGCTTTAACTGGATCTTGTTTGCTGGCATCACATGTTCATATTTAAGCATAAGCAGATGGAGGCATCCATCACGTAACTCTTATTAAAGGAATATGACTATAAGCCAATTAAAGATAATAAACAGTTCTTCATACAAAATACAAAGATGGCATATTTCCAGAGTCTTTTATATTTAAACTTTCTACAAACTCAGAAGTTTCCAAAAGGCATTCTTACATTTTTAATGGCTGTCATCAAATTGCTCCTGATCTTTTACAATATCTCAGTAATAAGTCGCTGGAAGTAATTTCACCTAACACTCCAAACAAAACCATTACATTAATGGATTATAGGCCATTTTTGAAGTAGTTTGGTTTACTAAACGCAGCCAGATGGTGTAGGTTGAGAAACTTAAATGGCTGCTAAGCACTGGAGGTGATTTAATACTACACAGCCTGGTCAGCAGACAGACACTAGGGATCAGTCCAATATTAGGCAAAATACACTTGTCCAATCGACACTGGCTCAATTCTTAGTGTCTAAGCTTGAGACAGTAGCATGTCTCAGTGACTGGGAATTCAACAGCAATAGGTGTACTCAGATTGTACAAAGAAAACTGCTTGCCTATGGCTACAAAAAAAATCCAGTATTTTACCAGAGGACAAAATCTATTCTAATTAAGCAAAGACTATAGGTACAATTCAGTTTAAAAGTGGTTATTCATGATATACAAATAAACATTTAATTTTATTGTTTTTTGTTTTTCGAGACAGGGTTTCTCTGTGTAGCCCTGGCTGTCCTGGAACTCACTCTGTAGACCAGGCTGGCCTCGAACTCAGAAATCCTCCTGCCTCTGCCTCCCAAGTGCTGGGACTAAAGGCGTGCGCCACCACCGCCTGGCTTAAACATTTAATTTTAAAAGATAATTTATTTTAAGTTCAGAAAAACAAAATTTTAAGAAATAGCTGCCAAGGATTAAGAGAGGCAGTACTACACAGTTCTGAAGTGGCTCCAGCTAGTACAGGGTGCTGGGGAGAGCGTGCCAGCATGGGCCAAAAGCCCTTACAAGCGAAGCTGCGGGCGGAGGCACGTGCACAACTGCAATCCCAGGAGGACGAGGCAGGAGGAACAAGAAAGTCCATGGCCAGTTTAAGTTACACAGTAAGACCCTACTTCAAAAAGAGAAGAAACGCTTTACAAAGTTCGTGCTCCAGGGCAGCAGGTGGGGGTTAGAAGCTTCCTGCTTGTCTGGCATGTGTGACTCTGGGTTCAATGTCCAACACCAAAACCAAAACACCCAGAAACAACAAACAAAACCATCATGTCAAAATAAACACAAACAAAACAAAATCACAGCACACTGAAGCTCCTCATATTCTTTCATACAGTAATGCTACTTTGGGTGGTTTTCTTCTGTTACTGTCTATAACATTAATGCGTAAGAACGGCTACCATGGTATAACTTACACAGAAAAAAAAATTAATGAAGGGGTTAAATAATGTGTTTGCCACTGTAAAATATACTGTATAAGACTAAAATTATTTAAAATAACCCACGCTTAGGAAAATATACTTTAACATATTTAATAAAAAAAATACTAGGAGAATATATTAAGTAAAGTTTTAAAAACACAGACTCCAGATCTATAGGGAAATAAACACATGATCAGAATTTTATAAGAGAGACAAAGAGCTCTCTGTGTGATGGAGTTCTGGGCAATTGTATTTTATATTCTGTGTGTATGTGTGTGTTCACATATGTGTGAATGGAGGCCAGTGAACCCATGGATCTGCCTACATCTGCATCCCTACTGCTGGGACTACAAATGCACCCCCTCCTTCAGCTCTCTTATATAGATTCTGGGGATCAAACTCAGGTACTTAGTTTGCATGGTGACTATTTTACTGGCTGAACTATCATTCATGTATGTATGTATGTATGTATGTATGTATGTATGTATGTATATATGGATACACACATATTTATATTTTCTAAATTTATTATGACCATCAAAACCAGTCAAAATAGAAAAATATCCTCAAATAAGACCTGACATTTACTGACACTAACTATAACTATCCCCTAATAAAAGTGTAGCCCATATAAAAACTTTCTATTTCTTTGCAGTGCTTTGCAGTGTTTTGGATAACCATTAAAGAAGGGAGGACGACACTCTGGAGATATTTGCTTAGTGGTGGAGTATTTATCTAGCTTTCACAGGTTCAGGGTTCACTTCCTATCTCCAAACATATCCTGTGTCAGGGATTGGGGGTACAGGTCAGTAATAGTGTGTTTGCTCTCTTCAAACAAGACCCTGGTTTGATCCACAGAAAATTATAGCATCTCAAGTATCTCTTGTGTGTACACACACATGGGCAGGCAGGAGCTCATGGATAATACACACTGCAAAGATTGAGATCTTCTTTCTAAAATATTAAAAAAATGTTGTTTCTTAAATTAATCCCTACAATGGAACCACTTTGTTGCAGGACGTGGTAGAAGCTGATGTATGAAGACCTTGGTTTTTAGCCAGCTTGAGCTAGGTTGATAGACTGTCTCTTAAACAATAACAAAAATAAACATACAAGTTTTTGCTGCTAAAACTCACATTAAAATTCAAGTACATGGAAGGAATTGAAAATAAAGCATATAATACAAGTCATGCCTTGAGCCAGGTAACACTTAAGGACAAAAAGCAAAATGAGCTTTGGAACTGCATACAAGTTAAATAAAAAAGACTGAGCAGAGGACAAAGAAACAAAGTAAAATGGAATTTAATTTTGCAGTTTTGTTTTTCTTTTATTTTGATAAAGGTGTAATTAATGACTAGGTGTGTAACTATCAAACTAAATCATAATTTTTAAATGTATTTATTTTTATTTCATGTGCATTGGTGTTTTGTTTGCATGTATGTTTGTATAAGGTTGCTAGATCCTCTGAAACTGGATTTACAGACAGCTGTGAGTTACCATGTGGGTCCTGGGAATTGAACTCAGGTCCTTTAGAAGAGCAGCCAGTGCTCTTAACCGCTGAGTCATCTCTCTAGCCTCCAAGCAAAAACTTTAAAAAGAGAAATATAGCTAGGAGTGTTGTACTTGTAGTCTAAGGAATTAGTTTCTATTTTTCTTTCTCCCCTTCCACCCACAGACAGGGTTTCCTCTGTGTAGCTCTGGCTGTCCTGGACTCACTCTGTAGACCAGGCTGGCCTCGAATTCACAGTGATCTACCTGCCTCTGCCTCCCAAGTACTGAGATTAAAGGTGCGTGCCACCATGCTTGACATCACAGTAGTTTCAATGCTAAGACAGAAGGCCTGCTGAGTTTGAGGCATGTCTTGGCTACACAGTGAATCTGAGGCTCCTGAGGTTATGGAGAAGAAGGGTTGGGGAGAGCAAGGTTGAAGATCCAGTTCCATTACTGTATAGCAAATTACCCAAGACTTTACAGGAAGCACACATACCTGGCAGCGCAGTTATGAAGTCCCTCTGCAGCATAGGCTTCAGATAGGAGTTGATGTGTCCATGCTGGTAATGACACATTTGCGATATAAGGTGTTCTACAAATTCCACTTGATCAGACTCTGACCACTGCTCAAAATATTTGACACACAGCTCCTTTTCCTTCTCATAGCTTGCTGAGAGTTTCCGCTGCTTGGGCACAATCATGCTGGAAGTGCCATTGGCAAGTTTTGTCTATAGGAAGGGAGGGATTGAAAGAAACATTTAACAGTAAGCATTGAAAATGAGGGAAATCTCCTGGTCTGGTATGCTAACTTATATCTTTGCAATTGAAGTATTCTTGTTGGATTTACTGTAGTTGAGTATCATGTAATTTGTGAACCATGATCATGTGGAAAGCCTTACAAATACCAGAGTCAGATGTTAAATCAGGTATAGTCTGGGAAGACCAAGCATCCATTTCTACAAGTTCACAGACATTCCTAATCTATGGTGATGCACAGATTAAAAGCTGAAAGCCAGATGTATATAATCATTACTAGCAAGCAAAAAGTTTAATTTGCTTGTTCTTGTATATAGCAGTTATTGGATAGGTAGATAATTAGTTGTTCACACTGACTTTTTTTTTTAATAGTCAAATAAGAAGTTTTCCACACAAAGAAAGACCAATGAATATTTACACTCCTCAGATTAAGTCTAATAACTCATAAACTCAACCTTTTCTTTCCAAAAATCCCATCTTCCTGGTTCTCAAAAAATTAAAGGCTATCTATACTTTTTAATAACTGAGTTATTTAATAAATTATTTACTGAGTATCTACAATGTATTTAACACTGTTCTAAGTGCTAGGGATACAATAATAAACAAAATCAGCAGAGTATCATCAGGAACATATATTCTACTTGAAGAGGTATATATCACTCATAATATAAATAGTGCAGTTGAAAAAAGCAGAATAAAATAATAGAAAAGGACTGGAGAGATGACTTAGCAGGTAAAGGGACGACACACTAAGCCTGATGACCAGAGTTTAATCCTTGGAGTCCACATGGAAGGAGTGAACCAACTCCTACAAGCTGTCCTCTGACCTAAACACGTGCTCTGTGGAATATGTGTGTGTGTGTGTGTGTGTGTGTGTGTGTTACTCAGACACAATAAATAAATGTAAAAAAGAACAGAAAGAAGGAGTATGTTATTATGGCAGGCAAAGTTCTAAGATGACTCCATGAAGATCCATTATAAGGTATGTAGGCAAATCTTGTGGATCTCTACGAGTCTGGGGCCAGCCTGTCTACATAGTGAGTTCCAGGCCAGTCAGACCCTTTTTTCCCCCTTTATATGAGTACACTGTAGCTATCTTCAGACACACATCAGAAGAGATCCCATTACAGATGGTTGTGAGCCATCATGTGGTTGCTGGGGATTGAACTCAGGACTTCTGGAAGAACAGTCAGTGCTCTTAACCGCTGAGCCATCTCTTTAGCTCCCCAGACCCAGTCTTAAAAGAGAATCCTATTATACATATAGATCAAACACTACTGTAGGTGCTGTTAGGTTTAAAATAATGACACAATCAGTTGACCTTAAAAGAGATTACTATACCAGGTAGTGGTGGTGCATGCCTTTAATCCCAGCACTTGGGAGGCAGAGGCAGGCGGACTTCTGAGTTCGAGGCCAGCCTGGTCTACAGAGTGAGTTCCAGGACAGCCAGGGACACACAGTCACGAAAAAAAAAAAAAAGAAAAAAAGAAAGAGAGAGAGAGAGATTACTAAATTGAAGACAGGAGTTCACATCTGTAATCCAGCACCTAGGAAGCTGAGGCAAGACTGCAAGGTCAAGGCCAGTTTGGGCTTACACAATGAGTTCTAAGCTGGCCATATAAAATGATACATCTTTATTATTTACCTAATTATATGAGGTCTTCAGATATATATATATATATATATATATATATATTTATATTTTTATTTTATGTATATGAATACATTGCAGCTGTCTTCAGACACACCAGAAGAGGATATCAGATCCCAAAACACGGTTGTGAGCCACCATGTGGTTGCTGGGAATTGAACTCAGGACCTCTGGAAGAGCAGTCAGTGCTCTTAACCACTGAGCCATCTCTCTAGCCCCCAGGGTTTTAGTTTGTTTTCCCCCTATGTGGGTGCTGAGGAGGAAGGTGGACACGTGATATAGAGAATTTGATCAAACTCCAAGTGCTAAGAACAGCTGCTACTGATAAACACAGAGGAACTCAAGAGTCTCTACGTTTTCCTTTAATGACAAGGATAGTCTGCTACTAGGAGTGAGGTATAAGGATTTCCCCAGGAGCTTCTAGGTGAGAACTTGGCAGGTTAACACACTGATCTCGGCTTTATGACACCTGAACTGAGAACATAGCCATGCTAGGTCACCCTTCCCATCTCTAGAACCATGAGCTAACAATGAAGAGGTGTGTTGGAACCTGCTATGTCTTTGATAATGTTACTCAGAAACTTAATGTGATTGCTTAACTCTACTTGGTCATACAGTGTTCCTAATGCATGATAGTTGAACTTAACATTTTTTTTATATAGGGTAAGAGTAACCTAACTAGGGAGAATTTTGAGAGTAGAGGCATCACTCTGTCAGGCATGCTCGAGGACCCCAAAATAGGCAAAGAGAACACACACTTGAGAGGTCTGAGCCATGTCATTCAGTCCATTTAGCTGACATCCATACATGTCCTCATCAACCCCTACCTTCCCTCTTACACGAATGCTGCTCTTGTCACCAAAAGAAGTTAACAGGATGTGGAGAGTCACACTCCAGGGCACAAAGCCCAGATAACTTCTACACACTCCTTACAGCATGAGCCACCATGGAGGATGAGAGGCCACAGGGACAAGCACTCTAGAGGTATGAGGGAGGGGGACACACACACACACACACACACACACACACTAATCCTGACTGTGGAGCATGCACTAGGAGGTCATGCGTAAACAACAGGAGGCAACTTAGAGGCTACTTGAATGGTCCATGGAAGAGAAGCCATCTTTTAGACTACAGTGGTGGCTGTAGAAGTGGAGAGAAAGAATTAGTACTCAGTATATTTTGAAGGCAGAGCAGATCTTACCTAAACCTGGATGTGGGCAGGAGAAAGGAGATGACACTGGCACTCATGTTTGAAGCTGCCGTGTATTGCGAAAAGACAGAAACCAACAGACAGCGACTCTCAGAAAAGTGATTTTTATAGAGGATGACACAAATGAGTACAACTGGATACCTTTCTAAGTAATGTGATGGACAACAGACAGTGGACATATCTGTCTGAGGTGACCCTAGTGAGGCATGGAGACCCACGTTGCTATAGAATTCATCATGCTTACATATGCTGAATGTGGCATAACACTACCTACACTTGGATACTTCTGCCATTAAGGCAGAAGCCTGCCTGTCTTATCTTCTTAATAAGACAAATGGAATAAATGGAATCTGGCCTGCAGCTGATAACAGTGGATTTCCAAGAATGGCATGAAGGCACCTGTCTACAAAGAAAGAGTGACACCCGTAAGCAGCAAGGCCAGTGTGCAGAGCTGCAGGTTTTCTATTGTTGAGGCATTGTTCCCAGGAAGAGTACAAGTGATTAATAAGGACCTGCTGGGCACTAGCCATGGGGGTAGGCGGGGAGTTCAAGCTACTATGTGGGCTGTCTGCAACTTAGCAAAGAGAAACTCAGCAAATGAGGAATATGAGTTACAGTACTAACAAACATCCTGGCTTACAAGCTGAACCAAAAAAAGCCATGTCTCATCCCAATGACAAAAGCCCACAATATCATCATTATCATCTCTATCATAAAAGGTAGAAATGGGGTGGAGATATAGCACAGTGGCCAGAGCACTTGTTCAGCATGGGCTATGTGCCCTAAGTTTCACATATAAACAGGTGCTGTGGTACAGGAGGATCAGAAGTTTAAGGTCGTCTTCATTTATTAGCAATTTGGAAGCCAACCTGGACTAAATGAGATTGTACCTTACAAAACCAACAAAGCAACCAAAGCAACTCCCCCTCCTCCCTCACAAAAAGAATGAACAGACTGAGTTGTGGCAGAGCTGCCTTCTGGTTAGAGCTCAATTCAAGTAACATGGAGCCATCAACTTGATGAAGTGGTTGTTTCTGTTTTGTGTAGACCAGGCATATCTGTGATCCGAGGGAGCCATGCTCACTGCTGCTGCTGCTGCCAGGCTGGCAGATAAAACCACCTAAGAACTGAGGGAACCTGGTAATTTTCCTCTTGCGCTAGGCTCAGTCAAGGCTTTCTTCTGCTTTCCCTGATCAGATCCTAAGCAGGTCTTAGAACATTGGGTTACTAGAAGAGAGGCGTGAGGTGAACATTCACGCATTCACCAGCTACTCTGGTGATGGGGAGGCTCTTCCTCTGTAGTTATTGCCCTTCACAAGTGTCCTTCCTTTGAAGAAGACTCACACCTAAGAGCCACTGTCATTTCAAATGGCATCACCCCTGAGCAGAACCCTTATTCTATACACACCCTCCAAAGCTGTGGCTCTGCAATTGGAGGGCTCACTAGCTCCCCCTGCTGTATCTGTTTCCCTCATTTATAAAATGGGGATAACAGGAACCATTTCACTATTTTCATGACAGACAAAAAGCCGTCACAAACCTGCTTTTGAATCACATGGAGGGAGGTATTTAGCATCCCTACCCCTAACCATGCCAATGACCAAACCATGTGCCTCCACACTGGTTTGGGCAAGCACTGTCCCACTGAGGTTACAGCCTAGTTCCAAATCAATACTACAACACAACACTGTTGGAGCTGGGTTTCCCCCTACTTCTGAAAACACATCTTTCTTTCTTAGTTTAGATTTAGTAAATATTATATGTATGGAGGGTATAACATTAAATGCACAAAGCACTGAACCGTCACAGACGCCCAGGACAGCCCAGCCCACAGAACAGGTCAACACCAGCTTCACAGTGCCCCTCTGCAGCCACTTGCCACCCTAAGAGTAACACTGGTTTCATTTCACTTTTGGGACAGGGTCTAATTATGAAGGGTAGGCTAGCTGCAAATCTGTGCCAGTCCTTCTGCCTCAGTCTCCAGACTGTTGGGATTACATGGTAAGCTAAATATCAGGCTACATCAGGCTAAAATACATTTAAAAAAAAATTATCCACTTAAGAAATTTACTGCAGAATAAAAAAAAAAATTAAAAAATGAGAAAGCC